TCGTAAAATGATACGGACATCCAAATATTTATATTTATTTAGGAGTATAATAATTATAAAGATAATTAACAATATCTTCAAATTAGTCACAATGTCACGTTCTTGTCCAGAATACAAAACAAAAGGGTAAATTTTATTCACCAAACAAAACCACATTCACCGGAAACATTTGCAAATAGGTAACGTTGTACTAGCTTTATATTATGGTAACATTAATCGTTTTCCTACATAGGAAGAAGCTCAACATTATATAGAACAAGGCATATAAACAAAGACAATGTTCATAATCTGTACGTAAGTCCATTTTAATAAAAGATCAAACATGTCGCGTCTGTTGTCTCAATTTGTGACGGGTTTATCCCATGTATACCAGAGTAATGAGATTATTAGGTCTTGTGGCTGTGGAAAATCACAGGAGAGGAGAGGAACATGCACGTGAATGCAACTATTGGGTTCGCGCAAGCAGTCGCGGCGGGACTACAGGATCGATGTAGCGCAGCCTCCATCGGTCAGCGGAGCACCTAATCACTTCGCTTTACCGCCCAAATAACTATCACTTACATTGATGGAAACGGGCCCACTCCCACTCAAAGAGTAATTTATTTAATAAAGTATAAACTGTTAATACATCTTATACTCTGATAAGAGAATTTGACTTTTGAACAAGTCGATTTTAGTCATAAGCTTATATTTTTTATAGAAATGTAAATCTACGATTGTTAAGTATATCAGAAGAATCTAGATATAGATCGTATTCGTTAAAACAGATTTTACACTACGAAATTGTTTAACCCATGATATCTATTGATCGCAGATAGCGAAATATAGATAATGCTTCGCTTTCGATAATTTTACTTCGGTATAATCATTGGGGATTTGCTCAATTGCTCGGTTCATAAACAAATGGATTGCACGGCCGTGCTATGTATTAATATATTTCAGAGGATTAAACGATCGGAAAATATTGTATAGGTAACAATTACATATAGTAATCTAGTTAATGTTGAAATGAATATGTTTACGGCAGGTATTTGTGATAGCAACATGAGACAGAAAAACATGGAAATTACGAAATATCCTAGCCCTATATCATATAATTAAGATGAACTGTCGACCTAATTTTTCTTTTGAAATTTGAGGTGTATACAGGTTGTAAAAACAATAAATAACTTTTTATGTTGTTTATATTAAATAATTAGTTACACATGTATGCATTTCTTAAGTTCTTGCAAGTAGGTTTCTTGTAAATCATTGACAATATTTGCTTAAATAATCTTGTATAATACCAAAGGTACAATGCAATATCTAAAGTTTTATTGGTAACTATGATTCTGTAAATACATTAGGAATAACAGAAACGTTGATTATTTACTAAATTAGGATTTGTTGAAAAAAATACTACGTTTTTTTAGGTCATAAATAATTATACACACCGAAAGTAATAAAGATCCAAACAAAGGTTTCTCTAATTAAAATAATATTTACCTTAATATCACGAAAGGTAGCTGATTAAAATCCAGTCTGTGTAAACACCGAACACACAGTAATTACGTTTTTGTACACATTTTGTTTGTGGCAAATCACACAAAGCTTTCACACGTGCGTTTGATTTCGTAGAACTGTAACCGTGAGTACGCGGTCTTACGAACGGCGCGGGGACACACACTGGCTGTCTACAGAGTTCGGTTCGCGCGGGCGGGCGGACAGCGGTCGGGCGGGCGGGAGCAACAGATACGCTACGCGCGACTCTACAGGTTCCCCGGGCCACCTTTATCCTCCCCCTCAACCCCGCTACATCCTAAACGCCAATTTACATCCTTATTATCGTTTTCTCTGTCACCACTAACAGATACAAATAACAAGAAAACACGTTCGCGTCGTGGCGAAATGGACAATGCTTTAGAGATAAAATGTAAAGAACACTTTACTGTATTGTGATTATTTATGATACATTTTACACGAAAACAACGATTATATTAATAATTAAGACTCTCATTACTCACAAGACACTCTTAGGGAAATCATATTCATAGATCAATTTTCAGCGTGACTTTTTAAATAGTTCAAAATTTATCATATTTTATATTATGCACCAGTTTGTTTAAGGAAAAGTTTTGCATGTAAAAATGTATTAAGTAAGGCGTATTCTAACTTTTTATAGTATTTGTAATAAGTTAAATATGCTTAAGCATTACAAATATGAAATAACTTTGTGGTGGGTCTATTATTTATGTTTATTACATTACAAAGTTCCGCAATATTTTTCTTTATTAAATAACTATGACAAGACAATTTATATATAGCCCTACTGGTTTCCTTTTTAATATCTGCCAAAATGTTTAGGCTATAAATTTTGTTTAATAATGTTAGGTGTGTATTTTTGTTGTTTCATATATACAAAGATGTTTGTAGCATCATACAGTCTGTTTTGTTAGGGTCACACCCATTGTATTTTTCCCGAAGCTTTCATAAAAATAACGTTTGATACTGAAGCTTCGATTTTCATTAAAAAAAACAAAGACTCGTTGAGTGCACGCATTGAATGAAAATAAAACAAAACATATCAAGTCAATAAACCAAAGCGTCCACGTTCTACGTGGTGTTCAATAAAACATCGCTTTTGAGAGCAATAAATATGGACAGAATAATTTTAAACGTTTTTAAAGACTTCCCGAAGTTATTCGTGTTTTTTTTTTGCAATATACGTAAAACTATATACTATATTTCTCTTTATATAAATTAAGATTTATTATCCGATCTTAGGTATTGTTACAATTACACTAAAAACTAAAAATATTTTTTATGTAATTGTGATAATATGTTGGACTACTAAAAAAATATATTTACCGGGTTAAAACGCGAAATATATGTAAAGCGCAGCAGTTTTGACTTTGACATTAAGGGAGGTCGTAGTTAAATTAAATTAAGTAATAAAATTTCACTTACATTTATATCCCGCCAAAACTTAAGCTTAGCCGAATGAAGATTTTACCTAATTAATAAATGAATAAGATATGCATTGCCTAGAATCGGAAAACAGCATTACACTTTAATTATTGAATCATAAAAATTCATGATTCTTAAATTTCCACCTCGTCAATGTTTAAGCTGTACTCAACTGTTACTAAAAAGCGAGTACCTAGGTATTTTCTTCAAACATAGTACATTTTTAAAATTACAAAAAAAAACACAAAATTCGATCCCGAGATATAGAGTATAATTGCTCTATGTCATAGTTTTTTTTAAGTACTAGTATAATTATTTAACGAATAAATCCATCCCTTAAGCTCAGTTCTAAATGAATACAAGGCTTGCAGCGCGCTGAATTTAAGCCTACTGTCGTAATTAGAACTGCTAAGTATGTATTGTGATAAAAAATATTTAAAGCCGTTACTTAATTCTCCTGCTAAAAGATATGAATATAATATAGTTGAAGATGCAAGAAAACGCCAATATAATTTTATTTATTTATATTTAATATTTGAAACATCACAATTATTTAGTTACGAACAATAAACATATCGCAACTTCATAAGGCCGCCATTACACTACCACAAATGTCTTGCAATGTTATCTTGAATAAAAATTAAAATAAACGAATCATTACATAAATGATAATGTAGCAGCTGGCTTAATACTAAATTCTATGCAAACATCAAACTAAGGTTAAATTAAATGCAAGTATGATGACAAAAGTTTTAAAAGTGCAATACATAAAATTGGCAGCTCTGCTGTTAGCACTGATTTCTCAATTTCTTCCACTAGTGGGCGCCAATAGCGTCACTTAGGTCTTCAAACAGACTGACAGACAGTCTCTAGCTAGAATGTAATGTAGTCCCAAAGTGTAACATATCTGGACAAGGCACCACATTAAAACAATTACAATTTAAGTGTTTTTTTTTTTTCAATTAATTGAACAGAGTAATGTATACATGGTAAAACATTTGTAAAGATGTTAAAATTATATTTATAAAATGTGCATTATTGTGTTTTATATAAAAATTACTATGCTAACAAATAATGCAAATTAATTAGTGCCTGATATATATCTAGTTTGTACTATAATTATTCCCGTTTAGTCTGTATCTAATATTGTCTAGAAAAAAGTGTACCAAAGATAATTTTATTTTATTATTAAATCAATGAATACTATTTTTGCCAATATTATCACTAAGTCATCATGAGCTAAAAACAGTAATTGATAACAATTTGTATGTAGGTCACGGTGCTTTGTTATTAAGATAACTAAATTTCAATGAATAATATAGGATGATATGTTTAACAATTTACAATGATGGTGATAAATTCGAATATTATCCTATAATGTAGCCGAAAATAACGCAATTCTCCACAGGCCTTAAGTTTGAACTTTATCATCTTATATTAGACAAAGTATAATAAATAATATTTGCGATTATATTTTTAATGATTATAGATAATACCTATATGATGAAACCCAAAATTATAATCTAAACATCAAACACAAAACACAATAAAAACACATCTTAATCCATGCCAAACTAAACACAATTCAAGTATACTGGTGTACTTAGTGCGCTTACATAAAGTACATAAGCACAATAATGCTTTTCTGTATTATTACACGATTTGAGCTAAAGCTGTCAGAATCTAACTAAATGGCGTAATTCACTGGGTTGGGTGCATTGCGATGTACGTATGTCGTAATAATTTTAAACTACATCTGCAGTTATGTAAATAAAGTAACTCGATAAAACATGTATTAATAATAAAACCGTTGTCATATACTTCTAAAGTTATAACGACGTGAAATGATAAAGGAACATAACTTTTAGGGAATCTAATTGAAAAAAACTTTTCAAGACAATCGCACAATAAATACAATCTTTTCGACACGTTAAAAATAATATTTGAGAGAAGGATCGTGTCTCAACTCTGGAAATAGTTGTGCGCAAAAACAAAACCCTACAAATGAAAGAATGAGAAAGTATTAACTCAATACACCTTACTAAAACTGGGTATTACATATCTAAGTCAAATATGAGATCATTTTTAAACTTAACTTCCAAATATTGGCCTTTATTCAATTTGTTGGGATCATACAGCTCCGTATTGTGCTTAATATTGTCAGTCATAGTTCCACGCTTACCCTTTTTGGGAGATTTCTTCTTATTTTCTCGGTGGGAGGGATTGGCATTTGTTTTTCCATTGTTATACATATCAAGTCCCTGATTTTCAGTATTCGCATCGTTTTCGTTACTATTTTCATCTGTTTCGGTGGCGGAATTGTACATGTCCAAATCAGACATCATCTTATTGTCAACGTCAGCATCAGAGGTATCAGCTAATCCGCTGTCCCGCCTTTGCTTTAAGGCTGATTTTAAACGAGGTTTCATCTGAAAAGTTTAAAATAATTATTATAGATTAAATCACACACATATTGTATAGTACTGTACACCTAAGAGGTCCTATATTCTCATTCCAGAGTCAAGGAAGGAAGGCAATAAAATAAAGGAATTGAAAGAAACCATTTCTACCAAAATGGTGGGATACACATGACATAACTAATGTGTAAATAATAGACAATTCTGCATTTATCAAAGAAGAATGCTAAATATGGTATAAATTCCTATACTGATTGTATTTTCATAACATTGATAATATGAGCTATTAGCACTTATGATCTTGATCATGGCAATGACTTTGTAAACACGCTGAGCATATCCATTATGTAATTAGCAACACCATGGTAATAACAGTTTAAGCTGATTCATAATTAGCTATGGAAAAATTTTGACAGGTGTTAAATAATATTACACCACATTTATCATACATTTCAAAACAATTTTTATTAAGGTCTGTGCAATATGCATACCTTTTTTTAAATAAGACACTGACGGTTTAAAACGCGAAAGTATTAGTCAATTTATGTTTAATTATGTTCAGATGTGTTAGATGCTTCCAAGCAACACCAAATGTCAGATAATTTTTATTGCATCATTTTCTTACCTGAACAACATTAGAGAATTCATCTTCCGCTTCACTCTCACTTTTATGTTGATGCCTCTTTTTACTTTTCTTTCGTTGATTTTTCTTTTTCTGTCCCTCTATAGAAGAATTGTATCTGAGAAAAATTTGTTATAAAGTTTATTTCCCTCACAGGACAATAAAGTTGAGACTGTACACGAATTAAGAGTACTACCATAGTTTATGCTAACTATGTATAATATTACTAAAGTTTTTTATTTACCTGTAAAATTGTGTTTTTATTTCGTCTTTAAATCTAACAGTCTTCTTTAAGCTGGACTCTCCTGGTATGCAATCAGAACTGATATAATCCATGGATGATGCAACATCACCATAACTAGACTCAGAGTAGCTCCTCATCATTGCTATTGGTTTCCTATAAATAGGTTTAGCCCCATTTTCATTATTATAAGATTCTGAACATTTTATGTCGGTTTCTTTTAAATCAGATTCAGAATCTCGAATTTCTTCTTCAAGAGCTCTTTGATTTGAACTTGAAACAAGGATATTTGTCTCAGTTCCTAAGTTAGTTACTTCAACAACTGGTGCAACACTTTCCTCTGGTATCTTCGGTAAGATTTCAGTGTTGTCAGGTTTTATATTTGCTTTTACTTTTGAGATGTCAAAAGATTCCTTTTTCATAGAGTTCTCATTCAACCCGATTTCAAACTGTGTTGGTGGTTTTTCAGCAATCTCTAATTGTAAGATGACATTATTGTCCCATGCCTCACCAGTTGCATCATGAAATTTAACATCATTTGGAAAAATTAAAATGGCAGCATAATGAACTGGGACAAATCCAGATCCCATAGAAGAAAACTTTATCTGAATTTTGTTATCACAATTTCTGACTTCTACTGAAGCTGGGTCAGTATTTTTGACATGAAATGTAAAAGCCACAATGTCATCTAGCATATTATAAGTGTAAGCAGGGAGAATGTAGCCAAGGGTAGGCAATAAGAAATTTTCATCCGTACATATTTCAGATTTTGTTGGTTTTGTTACCAATTTATCAGTAGAGTTAAGCTCGACTATTAATTCTTTGCTCTCTTCTTCACTGTGTGACCCAGAATGCTCTTCACTTTCAATACCACTGTCTGCTCGGTAAGTATTTTCCAAAGTTCTTTTAACCACTGGTAATGTAATAACTAGTAAATGTTTTGTTTTATCAAATTGTGCTTTACCACTTTCTTCATTCACTGGATAAGGAAGCTTTATGTTAAGTTTATACTTTGCTGGTTTTTCTGAGATCATGGTTAAATCTCTCTCTCTTACGTCTAACACACATTCTTTTGTGGAGGATAAAAGGGGTAGATTTACTTCAACAATAATATGACTGGGAATTGCTGTGTAGTGCTTACTATCTTTGCTATAAGTAAACTCTTGGAGATCAACATTTTTTTGTTGTTTAATAACATATTTAGGGATGGTATAGCCATCATTACTGGTATGCATAAAATCTATGTTTGTGCATTTACTATTAATATCTTTAGTATTTTTCTCTGGGTGTACACTAGGGCTAGATTCGACATTGGGAGAATAGACATGCTGAGGATACAATTGTTCTAAGCCAGGATCAATATGCTGGTTTTCAGAATCTTCGGTAGGTTTATAATTTGGATCTTCTTTTCTTATTACCGCTGGTACAGACATTCCCTTATAGTGTGACTTTGGAAAGCGAGTGTTATTGAGGTCTAAATTAATATTGTATGTTTTCTGCAAACCCTCAAACGCAGTTTTATTAACTAGATCCCGGAATCGTTTATTAACTTCAGCCATGCGTAGTGTGTCAGGATGAAAAACCACATCGTAAATAACACATCTTTCTTTTTTAGAGTTATAATCTTCTCTTGGTGGTATTATAGAATACGGAAGTTGCCAGTTCATACCCTTCTGCCCATCTACTTCTTGAACTTTGCATGATGGTTTATCGATATTTTCGTTGCTACATATATTTACGAACGCTTTTCTGTCGCCCGCTACACTGGTCTTAATCACGTAGCCTCCTTTAGGATTAATAAATGTTACATCGTAACCCCGTTCCTTCTCGAGCTGAACCATTTCCTTTTGATATACGGCTTGATTCGCCGGGTCACGTATTTCCTCGCAGTACTCGGCCAACAAATCTCGAAACTTCTTATTCTTCATTGCATCTTGGATAATATCTAGGTCGGCTCTGGATAGTTTACTTTCTTCATCACGAGGTTTTACGCCTGTTGCCATGTTGTCTACTATAATAGTGATTTAAAAATAAAACATTAATACGCATAAACACACGCAGTATTTGATAATTCGGATTAGAGTTGAAACGTGAAGTTTGTACTTTGTAGATATTTTTTATTTATATATGACAGCTCAGCTGACGCCCGGCTTATATAGATTACAAACATCTACCGGCCTGCCATAGGTTATATTACCACAATGTAAAACACTATACCTATCACAAATATAAAAAGAAACACATAGCACGTCAATTGCAGGGAAAATTTGCTTAATATTAAAAAATAACAAGTTCATCGAGTTTTTACAAATTTTATGAGACCGTAATACAAAATAATTATTAACAATTACCTACTATATTATAACAACTTTGTTTTGCTTTTGTGTCTGTTGGTCATAATCTATTATCTTTGCTCTTGACAAGATCAAGTGTCATAGTGGTGTCACACTTCAACTATCGTTCAACTATTTAATGTTTAACCTCTATTTATCTTAGCTAAGATTTGTTATGAATGTGTAAAGCGGTGCATGATTTTAACTCAAAACAACAACATTAAATACAATTTTACCATATTATACCATGGCTAGTAAAGTTTACCGCTTAAGCACTAGTCTTAATTATGTATTAACTGTTAGCTCTACTAGGTTATACAGCAGATGGATGCATCGAAGACCCGCCAAAGTTATTTTACCTATGAACGCAAATTCGAATGTTACATTGAAAAAAGAAAAAATTATAGACCTTCAGCCTGAAAAGCTACAACAAGTTAAAAAAGATAATTTAGATAATGAAAATAACAAAAAGGGTACGGGTATATTAAGCGAAATTAATGACCCACCTTTACATCCAAAACCATCAAAAGGAATAAAAGAAATAAGGGTTAACAAGCTTAAACAACGAAATTTCTATCTTAGTCAAAAAAAGGTATTTGATGATAATGGTGAAATAATATATGAAAAACTAAAAGAAAATGATAGTAGAATAAGGTATGTTGCAGTGAAGTACTTAATTTAATAACAATATACAATAAAAGTGTTTTAAATTACTTATATTTGATTACAGTTCTCTTCTAGTAAAATTGAAGTCTAAAAAAGAGAGACAGCGTACAAACCAAATGCTTGTTGAAGGGTGGCGTCTAATTGTTGATGGACTTGAATCAAAGTGCAAATTGAAATATGTCATATTTAGCCAAACAAAGGACCTTAATAATTTGCACCCATTCTTACCAAACACAGGTGTACAGATATACAAAATAGCATATAAGGAGATAGAGAAGTGGTCAGATGTGAAAACACCACCAGGGATATTTGGTAATAGCTATTTTTAGCTAATGGAATGTCCTACCTACTTTATATAATAATAATATATTATGAAATCTCCTATGCCGTTGTTCGATTCTATGTTTGTCTTGCAGCTATATAATGACACTAACATTGTTGCTTGCTAGTCTTGATTACAATGAACTACTTACCTCTTGATTATCTTAAGCTAATTTAAAAGCAAATTGTACATTCTCCAGATAGAGTAATTCTTTTCAAGATCATTCCTGGTGGGCTACACTAACAAATTATTTCAATTGATTATTGCAGGTGTATTTGAAATGCCTACTGCAGAAAATGTAAAGAAACTATCAAAGCCACTCCCATTGTCCTTTATTTGTGACAACATTAGAAATCCAGGCAATTTAGGTGGAATTCTTAGAGCTGCTGTTGGAGTTGGGTGTGAAAAAGTTATATTAACTAAAGGTGTGTTTTAGATGTAGTTTACTTATATGAATTAAACAGGCAAGAACCTCCACCTCCAGGTCCTGCCTGCATTTTTTTAGAAGAACTTGCAAATTTTATAAGACTAGACTGAAGAGGAAGTTTGCAAATACAAATTTTGGTGCCTAAAATATGTGGAAGAAGTAGGTGGCACAGCTAATATGATTATAATACAAGTTTCCCTACTCTAAAATTATGCTGACTTGCAAACAGTTATTAACTTTTTCATATTTGTACTATTTAAGGTTGTGTAGATCTTTGGGACCCGAAAGTTATTAGAACTGCTGCAGGTGCTCACTTCAGACAGCCTATACATACGTCAGTAGATTGGGAAGAAATTCCTAAGCTTGTCAACACTAATACATCGTTATTCATCGCCGATAGTAATGCAGATGATACAAATGAGATAGAAAGCAAATCTGTGATGTCAGAAATACCAGTTCTACCATATTATGGAGTGGAATTTTCAAATCTAAACCATGTTACACTTGTAATTGGTGGTGAAACCGAAGGAATTAGTGAGGATAGTTACAGGTTTGTTTTGTGTCACAGAATACTCTATTTTGTTGCAAAAACTATTCTTCTAAACTTGAATTTCTTATGAATCAAAAGAAAATACATTAGATGGAAAATGACAGTTGGGTAGTGTAAATGGTATTTACTGATACTTGCTAAGTACTGCTTCATATCTACATAGATGGACTTGATGGCGTAATGGTAGCAATGTAAGGATAATGCTCAACAGCTTTTGGGTTCGATCCTCACCCCATCCAACATGGGTAAATGAAATAGCAAAAGGCCGTCCATATAAGCGAAACAGATGAAAGCGTTTCGGTTTCAGTGTGTGGATTTCCGAATATCTAAAGTGTTATATGGTTGGGGTATGCATGTTTGTCCTCCTCTATCATAAAAGAAGAGAGAAAAAAAGAACTGATTTTTTTTTTCAGGTTCGCAACTATAAGAAATGGATTGAGATTAAACATACCATTGCAAAGAGGAGTAGACAGTTTAAACACTGGTATGGCAACAGCCGTTATAGCATTTGAGGTGAGAAAGCAGTTCCTTCAAGCATGGGCTCAACATAAAATGGAAAGGAAGCAAATAACTTGAGAATAATAATGGATACACGATTTAGACTTCGAATATTATAATACATTCTAACCATAACATTCGTTTTCTTTACACACCATTGTGTTGCATCATTAATGGAAATCCATCATGAGGAGGAAAAAAATCACTTTCAAAAGTGTTGTGATTTTTTATTTATAAAAGGGTTACCTACTACATACATAATTAAACTTACAAAATCTATTTCTTATAATAATCCTTACTACTTATGTATCTAACTTATAGGTTTTTGGCATACCTTTAAGTCAGTTAGTTTAACTATATTAAATACAAATAAATGTTATGAGTAAAAATTACAATTACAGGTAAAGGTTGGTTACAAATAAAATGAAAAAACTTACAAATTAATTAATGGAAATTTCTAAAACTTTTTTCTTTAATATACATATTTCATTTAAAGAATAAGTCTAATTGATTTAATTTAATTACAAATATTGATTAAGAATATGGCAAAAGAAGAAAAGAGTTGGCCTCTGAAAAAATCTACGTATATTAAAAAATATTCAAGCAACGTCAATATTATAGAGATGCCATCGAAATTATATATATATATATATATATATATACAGTTTCATATTTTATTAATATTATAGACTAGAATGAAATGAGTTTAATTATTTATCGCTTATGCGAGTGATATAGACAACATATAAAACACGAAAGTCCACGCGTGACTATATTTAATAACTACTAGAAACGTCGGGTCATACTTAAAATAAAAATATAGCTCGCTTTTCAAATCATTACAGAAAACATTGTTTTCTTCTATTCCTAATAAGTATATAACTTATAATTGTTAACCGCTCTTTTAATATAAATTCATTAAACAAGTGGACAGTAAGAGAGTAATTAAAAGAAAACCTACAAATCATTGGTCATTGTTACTTTTAAAATGATCGCCGCTGTACGGCTGCTTTGCCCCTGTATTTTCATAAGGTATAACTGGTATTATGTAGGTACACTAGGACTTGAATTACCATAGGGCGATTTACATATTAACGGAATGTATGGATACTTTACGGAGTGTTAAAAATGACGCCGTTTACTTAATACAAAATTAGCGTGGTATCAAAAAAACTATACGTTAACTGCTAACACTCACTGATTAAAATAGTGTAAGCGTAACGAATTGACAAAATTGAAACAATTCTTCATCTCAGCTGTACCAGTTCAAGTAGTAGTAAAAATTTGAATAAAACATTTTTAACGGTTTTCAGACGCGAAATATATTTTAACTAATACATTGGAACGAAGTTCCTCCTTTAAAATTTATTTTAACTGTGAACCGACGTTTTTGATTCTTTCCAGTAACCCTGGTTTGATTAGAAAAAGGAGCGTTAGCGTTTTTTTAATTATTAAGTACATATACATAAAAGGTATATTTGCACAATTGCCTTTATATACACAAATCCTACCTAATGCCTATTTATTTAGATGCATGGCCGAGAATTAGTCAACTGTTTAATTGGGTCGATAACTTCGCAGAATAAACTGTTTTCTGGATTGGAGCCATTGTCCTATTTACTATTTGCCAAACGACAATATTTATAACTATCCTTCTTTATCATCTTTTATCGTAAGAGTGACCGACTAGCTTTAATTAATGATTCACTATTTTTCCTTCTGTTCTTTTTTTTATTTTTAATTTGTGATAATAAAAAATATTTGTACTGGTGCTCATGAAGCTGTTAGCTTTTGGGATTTCAGTGGAAATGTGGTCATTATGTTCCGTTAAATTAAGAAATAAGTACCCATATTTTTTTCTTTTGAAACCTTTCTAGAAAACATTTTTAAGTTAATATTATTTTTAAGGCGATTGGCAATTATAAACTGTTTACGTCCTTTTTAATATGTATATAAGACATAAAACGCAATTTGCTAGACTTAAAATTTATGCAAGTTATGTTCCAAATATGTCCCTGTTTATTTGCCATAGCCCTATAATGCATATCAAAAATACGAAACCTTAATACTTTTAATGTATTTTATCTCAAATGTATTAAACTACGGCTGACATCTGTTCTATGTAGAGGTTCCGCAAACGTGGCCTATCTCCGGCGAAGGGGGATTTTTCAAAGGAGAATTCGTAGTGCCTAGTTAAGGATCTTCGGTGTGGGAAGAAGGCATCGGTCAATACTAGGTTGTGCGGTGCGTGCGCGGCGCGCACGCGTGCCCCGACCCCCGCCCCCCGCCCGCCGGCCCACTCGTGCAACTCGCGACTCAGCCGTCGTGCGTTACGATCGCGCCCGACTGAGCTATCTAGTCATTTGAGCCATGTGAATGTTTTCATCACAGAAGATAGCTGTCAACTCTCGTGTCCTGTCCAGCGCGATGCGTAATTCCGCTGAACGTAGAGCCCTTCCGTGCGCCCGTTCCTAGACGTGGAGACTTTCGCCGGGTGTCTAGTTTTTTCACTTGTGGCCGTTGACACTGCAGCGTGCGGGTCCTGCAGTGCGCGAGTGTTTGGTTGATTGGCGAACGTGGAGACGTCAGCTGGGTCGCGTAAACAAATTAACTTTTGACGGGACTATGGCTCCAGTGTAAAATCCTGAGTTCCGTATTTAGCAGACATCATGTGGGCCCTAGTGCTGCTGCTTTTCGCAGGTAAGTTATGCAGTATTAGATTTCTGCCGGTCTCTTCAAAAAGCTCAGTTTTAGTATAGACCGCAAATTAAACTTTAATAAAAACCTTGTTATTATAAATAAATGTTTAGTCTACTAGTCTCTTGGGGTACAAAACTTAGCCAAACACTTCGCCGTTGTGTAGGAATTTTCAGGATAAATAATCGTTTCTCTAATAATAGTAAATCGCAAACAAGCCGTCCAGCTAGTTATAAATGAAAGCACCAACAATTAAGTATAATTCCCATGAAGGCGTCTGACTCACCACAAATTGGGTACGATTCTTTGTCTTTTTTGTTGCTTTGTTATTTAATTGGTCGAAGCATGTCTCTAATAAGCCGGGAATGTTCTTGCAATTCAACGTTTCAAGCCGTTATTTTTTGCAGTATACTTTTAAATTGACTCTCCATTTTAAACGTACAACGTTTTTTGAAGATAACGTTATCAGTTTGCAATAATTTAATTATCACTAAAATCTTAAAAATAAAGTCTACGATAGAGAAAACCCGACAGGTGTGCAGGACAGCGCAAGCGCAGGTAGCCGAATCAAAAGGTCTTTGGCCAGACCCGCGCAAGATAAAAGTACTTCTAAGTTACATTTTGTTTTAAATTACACCAATACTATAGTAGATTTTTACTATTGCTTATATCGTTAGACTACTTTTAATAACTCGTTATTCCTTTATCGTAATCTCTCGCGTAAAGGTACAGCACGAATTTTACCACAAATGTCTCAACTAACTTTTAGCAATGTATTTACTTACAAGAATTTTCGACATATGAAAAAGTTAAATGTCCCTAGCGAATCGCAAACCTTTTTCTTATTTTGCCCAGTTGCAGAAAAGTAAAATAGTTTGTACGACGGTCCTTTACCAATTCCCTACCAAAAGAATAAGTTTTGTTCAGGATCGGGCCTTAAATCTTAGTTTGTTCAATTTATTTTTATGCTACTAATATCATGAATCTGCCATTTTGTTATCTGTGCAGACTTGACTAGACTTTTAAAAAAGATCCGACTGTGTTCACGGGATATTCTCAAGACAGTATGCAAACCGATTCAAGCTGCGACTAGTTTTTTCTCAAGCTGTCTTAAAAGGCGGATGCTGAGCGCACCTGGCTCTTTAGACTTTTTTTATACAAACGGGATCGACACTCTGGCGCTTGAAGAATATTATTTTAAGACCACGTCTCTTGAAACATTATTCAGTTAATATAGATAATAAATTACATAAGTGCAATAAAGTTGGATAAATCTCCGTACAAACCACAACGTGCCCTGTCAGCTCGTTAAATTCTCATCAAGTTGCGGGCGATCCTTGTAACTGACAAAAACGCATAATAGATTATAACATATCCTTTTTATTACTAAGTAGTTAAATAATTTTAATGTTTGTTTTTTTTTATTTGAAATTAATATCATCTTGTATTTGTAGCGTATGCGTATTGAAAGTAGTTTAAACTGTATTGAAAATCCATTGTAGATTGAACAAAATTAACAATACAGTTCGGACTCAAACACCAGACCACAGCAATCCGCGCTGCCCCATTAATTGAGTTATCGTGTCCAAATAGTTAAAAGTGAAATCCTATTTCCCCCCTTGGGGCTAAAACATTTCTGTGTCCATTGTACCGATAGCTTATTTTTAGCACAGCGAACTACTTCTGCGCCTGCCCGACCGAAACTATTGTTTCCCCGAGATTCGAACCGGGGAAACAATAATTGCCTATTAGCAGCACATTGCGGGCTTCCCGCTTCCCGTTTTAAACTTATCTGAAATCCGAACGCTTTATTGATTAGGCTTTATAGCTTACACACATACTTTAGCATTATATATTTGGTATTTTCTAATTAGGAAATACCAAAATAAATACCACATCTGGAATATGCGCATTTTTCTCATTGTTTAAAATGCAGTGTCTATTTTGGGACGATGACAGTCGGTTACGGAATGAGTGTAAGGAGCCGATAAAGTGGCCGGGGCGCCAGCTTTCATCTGGTTTGTAACTTTGTAGATGTATGTTTACGACGTGTGTGCGCTTGCGCATTGCATTAATTATGTACAGACTTCACACACTTGTGAAAACTTGAGGTTGGCATGTAAACTCTAATGGAATGCACACAATGTGAGACATAACGTCATTGACTTTGTTATTTTTACTTAGCTAAGTTATTAGCTCGCGGCGTAACGATATTGAGATAAGCTATTATTTCACACCTATCTAATTATAACGTTTATAAAACCAGATTTTAAAAATCATGAAACATTAAACTCTCTTTATTTAATGTATTCTTACAATGACTAATTTTTGTAATTGAAAGAAAAAAGCAAACTGTAGATACTGTACTATGTGGTTTATGC